ACAGCCGGGTATCCAGGAGGACGCCCAAGTTGCGTGCCCTTTCCAATGTGGCTACACTGCCTTTATTGCATTTTTTTTTTGGAAAGGGTAACTTCCTTAATAGATGGTGGGAATGCGGTCAGTGTAATATATCCTGACTTCAGCGAAGTGAAAAAAAAATAGATGGCTGGGGAATTCTGGGAGTTGAAGTCCCCCTGTCTTAAATTGGTCAAGGTTGAGAAACACCTTGAGATTCATAAGATGCTCCTTCTGAGTTGCCCTTTCTCGTGTCATATTTGGGGATCTCTGCTGGGGGCTTCTCTTAGGAGCAGGCTGGGTGGGCAAAGGAGGCAGGGATGCTCTTTGGAGATCCCACAGATGGCAGTCAGGAGCGTCAAGCTCCCACCAGGCCTGAAGACCAGGAGGGGCACCGCCGACTGAACTCAAGAGGGCCCACAGTGGGTTGGGTTGGCCCCCTCAGGGACCAGAGTTTGGCACACTGGTGAAAGCGGTGTGTGTGTGTGTGTGTGTGTGTGTGTGACCTTGGATACCTGGGGCAAATAAACAAAAAGAAGCTTTTGTTTATTTTTCTTAAAAACCCCACACATTTATTTATTTTTTAATCAGGCCTCCCAAACAAAACACAACCAGGAGCAATTTTCGGAACTCGGACCCCCCATTCAGGAATCTCGGGGTGCCACCCGGGCAGTTGGCGAAACGGACGAAGGGAAGTCGGAGCACAAACAGGCGAGGCAGCCTCTCTTCCTGGGGTCCCCTGCGGTCCCCCCAATCTTGGAGGCTGGGGGGCTCTCGGACGCAACAGGGGGCGTGGTGAGAGGAGAGGGAGGGCACAGCAAGGACCGCGGTGGGGAGGGGATTTGGGCACCCAGGCCGGGAAGAGGCTGCATCCGCCCCAGAGATGGTGGGAGGGGGCACACAGGTGGGGGGGGCAAGGGGAGACATTCAGGGGCATTTCCTCTCCACACACTGCTTGCCCCCCTCTTCGTACTCCTGCTTGGAGATCCACATCTGCTGGAAGGTCCCCTAGAAAAAGAAATAAGGGGGTGAGAGGGCGGAGCAGCCCCCTCCCCACCGACCCACAGATTGATGCCCTTTCCTTGGGTGACCCTTGCAGGAGGCAGACCCAGGTTTACGCCCTCTCCAGACTTGTGGACGACCCCGATTCCTCCCCTCCTGCACCCCCTCCCTTGATTCCCACTCTGCCCCCTCCCCCCCCACTCACTAGAGAAGCCAAGATGGAGCCCCCGATCCAAGGACTGAACCTCCGTTCCATGGTGCTGTTGCTGGCAATGAGCTTCAGTCGCATGCTCTGTTGGGGAAGGGGAGAAGAGGGTCACCGGTGGTGGGGGTGGTGGGGGTCCTGAGCAACTGTCATCCTGATTGCACGTCCTGACTCCCCAGGGCAGTGCGACTTCCCCCCCCCTGTTTTAATTGACATTTAATTGACATTAGAAAAACCGCTTCCAGGAGGAGAGCCCTGTTAAGGCAGCCGAAAAACTCAGGAGTCGGATAGAAACTCTTTTATTTAACTTATGAAGAACGGCTGCAGGATTTGGGTCTGGCCAGTCTAGAGAAAAGAAGGACGGGGGAGGGGGAACCTGATAGCCAGATTGCAGTATTTGAGGGGCTGCTGCAAAGAAGAGGGGGGGTCCCCTATTCTCCAAAGCACCAGGAGGCAGGAAAAGAAGCAATGGGATGGAAATTAACTCAAGGAGAGAAAGAAGCAGGCTGGAATTAAGGAGAAACTTCCTGACAGCGAGGACAATTAGCCAGTGGAAAGGCTTGCCTCTGGAAGTTTGGGGGGGGG